TATCCATTTTCAATGATAATTGGTATTCCACTTCGTGATTGTCTTGTGTCATCAAAACTTATTGGAATAAAAACTAGTTTGAATGAAGTAAGAATTCATTATTTATTAACTATTCTATAATGTCGATTTTTTTGATAAATAGTTTATTGCTTATCAAGAACTCGGTAAAATACGTCAATTACGTAATGAACTTATATTAAATAATACATTTCCATTATATTTAAATGGTACATTAACATTACCAAATGATGTTCCTATGTTATGGGATGTAAATATGTTATATATTAAATTGTTTTCTTTTTCTTTTGAAGAAAATATAAAATTTCTTTATTATAGGACACTTCACCGATTATTTTAACTTATGCTTTATGTGGTAAATATTTTAGATATTTTATTGATGTTTTCTTGAGTAGGACTGTTCATAGGCTTTGCTAATTTTGGTTCGATGGGTGTTGCATTAGCAACACTTGGAGTTTTTGCTCCTACACGAAAACGTGCTTTAACAAAAATTGCACCACGTGCTTTGATTGCTGGTAGTATGGTTTCATTAATGACAGCATCGATTGCTGGTATACATATGAAAATATATTCGTTCTGTTTTATGAGACTTTTATTTTTAGGTCTACTTTATGATACTCGACATGTAACAGTACCAATATTAAATTTAAATTCCACACATGTATAGATTCAAGGTTTTTTTTCTTTTGCTAATATGTGTGCTCTGACTATGAATGATTTATTATTTTATTTTAATTGATTATCAATGGGATTATTTATTTGATTTGTCAATAATTAAAAATGAACTTTTCTTAAGATATTACCTTGCACATCTATTTATAAAACTTTTTGATAACAATCTTAATTGATAATATGTCAGTTTGTTTAAAAACGAAAATAGTTCTTATCAAGATGCTCTCAGCATAAAGGAAATTCCTATGAAAATCAAACACAATTCATATAATAAAAATTCAAGACAATTTCACATAGGTTTTGTTATCATATTGATTTGCTCGATGATGTCAAATATCAAACAGAAACCGAAATGCATTGTGTTTAAATTAACCTATCGCTCCCATGATGGTTTCATAAGAGTCACTAATAAAAAAACTACTGCAATAGAGTATTAGACGCTTCGGTAGTTCGACAGTGTAGACAAAACAATTAATATGCCTTCCTATGTGGAGGGTAATTTGGCAATTTCAGTTGTCATTTTATGTCGTACAATCTCTTGCTGAAGTGACTCGTGTGAAAATTTTTTGAAATGCATTTTATTCTATAACAGCGAGCTTTCGTCGACATTTTGCCATCTGGTAACTTAGAGCTTTCTCTATACACAATGTGCACGGAGTTTTTTAATAATTTGCGTTCTGCATTTCCTGAAATGTTTCTAAACATGGTAATTCTAATTGCAATTAGTCTGCACAGAGATCGACAGGATAGCTAAAAAGCCACTTTGTCTTATCAAAAAATGATTGAAAGGCGAGTTTTTGTTGAAAACTTTTCGAGCATCCATATTAAGTACATACTGTCACAAATCTGCATATATTTGACTATTTGGATCGTTTTCAACTAGATTAAAAAAGTTCTCATAGCTATCAATTACACATGGCAGTGAAAGTTTTTCGTGTGCATGAACTTAAATGGAAGCATGTTATTAGGTCAAAAATAGTGAGCTTCACACGTAAACTCCAAATTTGGAACCCACTTACGCATTCATATTTTACCCATCATTGGGAGTCCATGTCTTATTATTTAGCACAGACCCTTAGACCTTCAAGGGATGTTATGGGTGTGAGTGTGGAATGTGAGTACAGGGTGTGGGTGTGGGTGTGGGCATATTTCACCTTAAATCACGCCGACATCTACATTCACACCGACGCATACCCACACTCATACCAACATCCACACCCACATTC